TTTATAACTGAAAGTAACTTTAACCACAAACCATATCCAAAATGATAGTACATGAAACATAGAAATACAAACTCCCACTAAAATTAGATATTTTCAAGAGATATTACACTCATATGCGCAGCGTGCACATGAAAGACCTTGGGTATCAATCCCCTAGTAAGTGGATCCGCAACTATAGAGTTTGTCTCAATATACTATATTGACACGTGTTCACCCTAAACTCTTTCTTTAACCGTCAGGAACTTGATCTCTATATGTTTTGACTTTGTAAAACTCTTGTTATTATTGGAATATAGTACTGCTGATTTATTGTCACAAAATAACTTGAGAGGGTATCAATCCCTTAATATGCGGATCCACTACGATGGAGTGCTATGTGCTCTATTGACTCATGTCCACTCTGAACTCTTTCTTTAACAGGTGGGAAGTTGATCTCTATATGTTTTGACTTCGTCAATCTCATGTTATTATTGGAATATAGCACTACTGATTTATTGTCACAAAATAACTTGAGCGATCTTTCTATACTGTCAATGTGCAGCCCAATGACAAAATTTCGCAATCATATTCCATGATTTGATGCCGCATAAAATGTTATAAACTCCGCTGCTATGGTGGAAGTAGTTATGAGTGTCTGCTTAGCACTCTTTCAGGAAATAACACCTCCAACAAGTAGGTAGATATAGTTTGAAGTAGATCTCCTACTATCTTGGCATCCCGTGAAATCAGAATCAGAATAACCGATGATCTCCAACCGATTCGATCTCATGTATGTGAGCAGTCTTTTGTTTTCTGTAAATGCCGCACGATCCATTTGGCCGCTTTCCAATAATTCATTCCTTAGTTACTTAAATATCTCCTGACATATCAACAGTGTGCGCTATATCCGGACACGTACAGACCTGAGTATACATCATACTAAAATGATGTATCAATTAAATTGTTTAAATGACACATTACTGCTTGGTGAATATCATCGTGCAACAAGTCATGGTCTTGACACATAATATAACATAGGTCGAACTTTGATAAACACAGCACTCATTTAATGAGTTAATTAAATGAATGATCATTAAACTTACCTCTACGCTACCAATCACTTATTGTACAGAATTTTTTTACCTATTACTCGTTCATCTATTTGAACAGTTAATAATCTATCATTGGAGTGAAATTCGTTACTCCAACTAGACGAAAATTATCACGTATACGACATATCAAATGTGACATATTGATGATATTTAATTGTCGAGTTAATTAAATACCTCATTAATTATCTCTCGACTATCAACTACTCATTGAGAAGGAAAAAAAAACTCATTGCTGACACATCTATTTAAATTGTTACTCCGTCACTGGATTAATGTTGAGTTACAAGTTAGCTTTTATATTGCTTAAGTTGGAAAAAAAAATAGATTTTCAAGATTCCAGATGACGAACTCAAGTTGACCAAAACAGTTTATACTTTCGTGCATTGGTATTAATATCCATGTAAACTCTATTTTTTAGTGTGGACATACCAATATTTTAGAGTTTTTGTTCTTATGACGTAAAACATTTATTTTCGATATTTTATTTTATATTTCCATGATCAAATTTATTTAAATATAAATTGTTTTCAAATGAAAAGGACAAAAAGATGATGACAGAAATAAATAGCATGCTTTCTTTTCAAAATAACACTGAGAAAATCATTTAGGGTGAGTTTAATTGCAATTATGAAATTTGCATCGAAAAATAATAAATTCTAAGCAATTCAATTGCCTATAAATTATTTGTATGAAAATTATTAATTAAATGCGTTTGATTAATCAGATTTAAAAATATTATACTTGTTTGTTTTTTATCGATGGATAAGTGAGGGAGATGTGATAGACGAGAGATAGGTGATAGATAGTGAATTACATAGAAAATAAAAATCACTCCTCCATAAAGAAAATATTTTCTTTATTTTTGAGGAAAACATGATCACGTGATCAAAAGTAAGAAGATATTTTTCGTGAAAAATATTGTCAATTAAACAGTACAAAAATAGAAAATTGGGTGAAAAAACACATTTTCATAAAAAATATTGACAATCAAATGTCCTAATGGCTTGTTTGATAGCTCCTTATTTTCCATGGAAGTTGGAAGAAATTTCATTTCCTATTTTTGTCCTGTTTGATGGCACTTTTTTTCCTCTCTGGAATTGGTTTTCCACATTTGCTAATTTTCTTGGTTTTAGTTGAATTGAAATTCCAACATTTTAGGTGGGAATTGAAATTCCATCTTTTTTTTTTTTTTTAATAGAAACAAATTATATCCCCAATTGTAAAAAAAAAAAAAAAAATTGTCCGTTTAATTGACAATTTACATTTAAAATAAAGTAAAACTACGTAAAAAATTTTCCATTTTTTTTTGCAAATTCCGTTCTCCTCTCTGGTATTGGGTTTCCAAATTTGCTAATTTTCTTGGTTTTTGTTTAATTTAAATTCCAACATTTTTGGTGGGAATTGAAATTCCATCTTTTTTTTTTTTTTTGGCAATAGAAACAAATTCTATCCCCAATTGTAAAAAAATTTTCCTTTTAATTGACAATTTCTATGTAAAACAAAGCCAAACGAATGCCAAATTTTTTTTTTTTTTTGCAATCCAAACAAATTATATCTCCAATTTTAAACTATATCTCTTTAATTGACAATTTTCATGAAAAATAAAATCAAACGAACACCAAAAGATGAAAAATTTCAACATTACATGTAAAATTATATTAATCAAAGACAATTAATTGACAATTTCCAATAAAATAAATTATAGGCAATTCAATTCCATACAATTCATTTTCTTTCTACCCAAATTCCATTTTTGAATTAAACGGACCCTAAGTAATTATGATATGGGTATTTATATCCATTATGTTAGATATGAATACCCATATTTTACGACACTTGTACCTGTATAACATGGTATGACCTTTTATAGTCTAGATTTCACTCTAATGATGGATGGATTTAGTTCCTCATTTTCATTACTAATCAAACCCACCCGGAGGGATAAAAAAAAAAAAAGTTTTGAATAGTGATTTTCAGCATAATATCTAGTTAAAAGTAAGGAAAATTTTTGTATACGTGTAGAATATTTAATTTTGTAAATACTGATTGAAAATGATATTATGGCCCTGTTTGATCCATCTTATTGTAGAATGAGAATGAAAAATATAGTCGTTATTGGGATTCACACAAGAGATAGAAAATTTGAATTTCAATGTTGATATGACGGATTACAGTCATATTTTTTATTTTAATGAGATAAAAAAGTGGTCCAAACGGTGGCTATAGTAAGTTATGAATTAAATTAACGGGTCAAATGACACTAATAAAGTAGGAAGTGAACTATCCCGTTATCCAACTCTTGTCCATAAAACTCAAAAAAAAAAAAAAAGATCTTTCACTTTTTCTCAGTGACCGATTCGAATGGCTTTTCTTCTGCAACTGCCTTCACCTCTCTGTACATTTCGACACCATCCTCTCCCTGCCTTTACAAGTCCCACCAAAGCATCACTCTCCCATAAAATTACACAGACCCAAAATTCAATACAATTATCCAAATGGGTTCCTAATTTTCAATCCAAGTCTTTGAATTTCTTGCTTTCTGGCTCCCTTGCTCTCGCTCTATCCTTCACAGGTCAGCATCTTTGTTCTGTAACCCCCGAACTTTGCAGTTTGCTGGACATTGTTACGAATAGAAAGTTAATCGAGATAGTGGTATAATTCAAGAGAATTGGGTAAAGATTTTTAATGGGTGAATTTGAAACTGTGATTTGTGAATTGCTGCTTTTGAAACTTACATGTAAAACACTGCATATGTGAAAATGAAATATCTGGAATCGAGTTTACAGTGATGTAAATTTTGATATGTAAATGCATTTTTTAAAGTCAGTACCAATTGACCCTTATATAGTGGAATTTTTAACATTAAAGATCACTTGATTCTTTCTGTTCTAAAACAAGATGTACATTATATGCTTGTTTGGGGCTTTTTGTTTAATTAGGGCACTGGCAATAAAGAGAATACATTGAACTTTGTAGGAGTTGGATTTGCAGAAGGAAAGGTTGGGGTTAACAAGCCAGAATTGCTTCCTAAAGAATTCACTTCTGTTATTGATGTTGCTGGGTTCCTCTCAGATGGGCAGGTGTGGTATACATCTTTTTACGTGCTGATTAATATGGGAGATAATAAGCATGTTTGGTTCTGTAAACTTACATTTAATTTATTTATTGTGTCAAACTTGATTTTCATAATACTTATTTTACTTAATTTTCTAAATAGTAAGTTTTAACTTTCTAGAAAATAATTTCTAAGCATGCCAAACATTATTGCATCTCTTCACAAGCCCCAGTTTGGTGGGTATTAAAATCAGATTTTTAATAGATTTTGATGATAGTTGATGAAATGAGTAGTTGAAAAGTTATGGGTCCAACTTGAGAACCATCAATAGTCATTTTGAGTGGTTAAACTTGATAGGTTGCTAAATCTCTGGTTTGCAATGTGCAAATTTCATTGGGAGAGGCGAAAATGGATTCATTTAGTCAACCCTAAATTTACTGGGAACAAGGCTTAGTTTGTTGTTATTTATGTTGTATCTTGTCCCACATAAATGTAGTTGAAATGTCCTATAAAGTTCCTGGAGCCTGATGATGTGGGTGCACTTTTAAATTGCTAACACACTTGTATAAAAGATTGTTAAATGCAACCATTGGGAGCATCTTATAACTAAATCAAGCAATGGGAAACTCCCAGTCTCTATCTTGTTAATAGAACAATTCCATTTGCATCTTTGGTGCACGAAAATAATGCATTAAAGCCTTCTCCACAAAGGGCTTCAGTATGTCAATGTTCCCTATCCTTCTAACATCACATTCTATCAAATAGTAGGGAGTTTATAGAAAAATATAGTTTCCAACTCCACAAGTTAAAGAATCTCTAGAAATCTCACATATTTCATTGACGAATTCTAAACAGTACAACAACAAACATATAGGAATAAAACCTAAACTTCCTAAAATTTTCCTTTCAATCATGCCCTGACATCTTTCCTCTAACTATGCCCTAACATAATCAAATTATGCTTTAACATCTCTCCTATGATTTTGCTATTAAGTCAACTATACAATGAAGGAATACAACTAATTACAGCCATTTTCCACACCCCCTCAAGGATTCTTATTGAGTTCAAATTTGTGACTGGAGCAAAAATTTCATGGTAGCCGATCATAAGTTTGTGCAATCTACAAGTCTTTCATTATATTTGTCAACTGTAATATGAGCTTTATGCTTTACAATAAATACTCGTTTACAACTAGCTGGCTTCCCTGGTGGAAGGTCAAGAACTTATGTTGCATCATTCTTTTTCAATGTCCGCATCCATCATAAATAGCCTCTTTCTACCTTGGAATAAGTAGAGCGTCCTGTATATTTCTTGAAACAGAATCACATGAAGATAGATTTGTAGTATTTTTGTACTCAATTCCGATGATTGGTATTGTTGAGAAGAATCTGCTTTATTCCTTCTCCAATAAACCTTTAGTTCTTGATATTTATCTTGTACACACTCAAGAGGAGCTATTAGAACTGGATAAGAAGGTGGAGAAGATGGAGGAGAATCTTTAGAAATGTCTGACCCTAGAGATATTATTGTTACGAGAAGGACCCCAAATATCGTAATGAATCAATGAGTAGTGTCAGAATTCTCTATATCCTTGTATAGGAAAATGAACTGGATAATGTTTGGATAACTTGCAATTGTAAAAAGATTGCAAAACAAATTTGGAACAAGTAGAATGGAGTTTACTGAAAGAGATTTTGACGTACGAATACACCATTTCTAAGCAATAAATGAGGCTATCTAAAACTTCAAAATTTTGTCTGCTTGAACACCGAGTATAAGAAAAAAACAAATTTGAGTGGCTAGTCATGTGATCTATGGATCTTGAATCAATGACCCAAGAATTGCTCGAAAAGTGAGTGACATTAAGCAAGTCGAGTGAGCAAATGCACTAAAGGATGAGATACTGACATGTCAGAACTCACAAAAATAAAGCACAATTGGGTAAAAGAGGTGATTGATAATAAGATGACAAACTAGAATTCAACTAGGTTGAAACATTCCGAAATAGGCTTGAAACAGTTAAGAAATGGTCTATACTGGTGTAAAATGGCCAGAAAAAAGAAAACCAGCATTGAACTAATATAAATCTCCCAAAAATCAATTGAACATTTGAACCTGATTGAATTACCTCTGAACCAGCCTCAAGAACATTTAAACCATGCTGAAAATAGGCTGAACTGCTCTGAAAGTTGAAGACTGTAAAATCTTGAAACTTCTTTTAAGCAATTAAGAACACGAAGAACAGAATTTCGACATAAAACAGATAGCAAGAAGACCGAAATTCCAACAATTTAGGCTGGATTAGTAGGACACCTGATACGCAGAAGAATTTTGAGAAATTTCATTTGTGAATTCTGAATGATACAACAATAAATATATGGGCTACAAAAACTAACAACTTCCTAAAATTTTCCATTTAATCGTGCCCTAACATCTATTCTTTTATTACTTTCTAACATCGATCCTATTATTATGCTACATTGCTAATTAAGTCAACTATATAATAAAGGAATACAACTAATTACAACAATTATCCCCACACGTCCTAACTTTCAGAGTGATCTGCAGGAGAAAAGACTTGCACAAGAGATTGCTGTCCTTGAAAAGGATACTGGATTTAAATTGAGAGTTCTGGCTCAGAATTACCCTGATACACCAGGTAGGACTACTGACGTACGAACAGCTTCCTATAAATTTATTTGAATTGTGAATATAAGAGAAGTTTGTGTTGGAGAATGTGAAATCTAATCATAATGTTCACTTATCCTCTCAATAGTGGATCGACCTAATTTCCAATGATATATAAAGAACTTGATAGGGGCATTTTTTATTGAGATGCAAACTGAGAGTCATTAGATCTCCTTTGTAAACTTATACTTCTCAATTGTCGTGAAAAACCTACAATGGCGACACATACCTCTGACATGAGGATGAACCACTATAAATCTTTGTACCTGCTCGTATGTTTCTGATTTCCATTCGCTTATTATTCTGCAGGTTTAGCAATTAAAGAATTCTGGAAAGTGGATGATAGAACAATTGTATTTGTCGCGGATCCTACCTTTGGTAAATGTCTAGAGCAATGGATGGCTCTCCATACATATGCAATAATAACTAATGCATTCTGCTTTGTCATTGATCAGGAAACATATTGAATTTCAATGTTGGAGCTACTGTGGATTTAGATGTACCACGTAGCTTCTGGAGCCGATTGGCCGGGAAATATGGGAACATCTTTTATTGGAAAGAAAAGGTCAAATTTCTTTGACATATTCACCTCTTTTTTCAATTAAAAAAATTCGTCTTATGTGGTATTTCTGTGAGAAATAAGTATTCTCTGCTCCTACTAAACAGGGAGAAGATGCATCTATTGAATCTGCTGTTATGGCAATATCAGCCTGCTTAAGAGAACCAGTAGGTGCAAATAATTGCTCGGAGGTAAAGTGAACTCTGTTCCTCAGGACAATATTTCTCTAGAGTCACAACTTCTTTTCCCGGAGGATCTGTATAGCAAAGGAAAGAATATGATAATAGACAACAAAGGGGCTGCCAATTTATTCTTTAATGTTTCTGTTTTGTCACTATATTTATGTGAAACATGAACGGGCATTGACGTGACGTAATACTTGATTATTTGCATAAAAAGATTTAACTTTGCTCTAACGGTAAGTACTGCTAATGTGTTTCTTGATTTCCCTTTCCCTTGCCCTTCGACACACGAGCGCGCACTGGGCACATCCACGAACAAGGATGAGGGTTATTAAACATTCGGTAACTTCCTATTTGCTTGTTAGCGTTGAGAATTAGGAATCTTAATTCTATATCGTCAAGAGCTATAAAATCGCAGGAAGGAAATATACATACAAGAATATGCAAGATTTATATAGGTTCACTTAAATGTGAGACTACGTTCTCGTCAATCATTGTAATAATTTACTGTGATAAAAAAAAAATTTATATGAGAAAATCGCACATCATATTTTTTCAAACATCTTTCTTTTTTATTATTATTCAAAATCTTAACGATGGTTATCTGCCTTCTAACCACCCACCAACAATAATTAGGTTTCACGGCTACATATTAAAGTCATTTTTTTAGTATATTTTGACAAAATTTGTGGAATGTACATGTGATTAAACCCCTATTTGATGGTCATTATAAAGAGAAATTGAGAAAATTGATGTTTTGAATTGTGATTGTTTGGAGAATATGTAGTCAAAATGCAGATTGAAATTTTTGATTAGGTACATAATATTTTATTGTGTGAATGTATAGTTCAATATGAGTATAAAAAATAAAGAGTTTTAATGTAAAGAGAGTCAAATATGGACTAGCCTTTAAATTTTAAATTACCATTTTTTTTTTTGGTGAATCAAACATGGGCACTAATTTAACATGTTACGAGTACAAGTAAACATGGAAAGTAGGTATGCCCACGGTTTTTCTAAATTTCTCCCTCGTTTTTCTACAAAAAAGATCAACATGAAGAAAATAACTTTTGTTGACTTTTAATCATAGGAATCGTGCGAGAATTCAAACAACAGAATTGAAAAATAAGCTCATGCTTATCCATAAATTGGAGACAGTCAAAAACAGGTTAGGAATGTTGACAGCCGTATTTTCCCACGTTTTAAAAAGTCAACAATTCTACATTCAAAACCTTGAAAATAATTTGGAAAACATGTTTACAACAGAGGCCGCCGTGTTCAACGTTTTTGGACTTAAATATCAAAATTGTCTGCCATTAGTAGCAGCCATAGACGGGAAAAGAGTATATCATTAAGTCGGTTTCCAATTTTGCTTCTTAACTTTGACTCGTATTTGGTGCTTGCGTGGGAGTGATTTCAGAAGAATGTGTGGTTGAAAAACGACTTCTACTTCTTAAAGAAGAATTTCCTGAAAGTTATCTTAAGTTAACATCTTCTAAAATATTGTCCAAATTTGCACATATTTCCTTTTACATCACAATTTAACGAAATATTGTATGGTTTTACTGATTATGAAACTATAATGACAAATTGGGGATTAACTTGCTCTTTTTTTTTGTATAAAGTTGAGCCCAACTTGCTACTTTAGACAATTAAATGAAAACAAATTGTGCAAATTTTTCTAGTATATTCTATTCTTACCCCGTTGTTGAGAATTATGAATTAAATTAATCAATTTGTACATCGAGTTTGACACCCCTTTATGTGTAAGAAATATGACCATTGATTTGAATGGGCGTTGTTAAAATCAAGAGTTAATCTATTTGTACATAAAAGGCTGACAACCTCTCACATGCACGCAAGGTCCGCATGTTTAAAAAAAAAAAAAGTGGACCCCTAATGTGAGAGGTTGTCAACCTTTTATGTATAAATAGCACGACTCTAAAATCAATGGCCATTATGCTTGTCACATCAATGATATCAAATTTGATGTACATGTTGCAAAGCTGAAATTGAATTTATAGTCAATTTTACGTCAAATCAAATGGACTCCCCAAATCTAATTGTTTAAATACAAAAGATAATAAAAATGTCGAGATTTTATTAGAGAGTTTGTACATTTTAATTATAGTTTTCAGTGTTGTTCAATTTAACGTATCAAACCTACACGTGATTGTCTCAATCACTCATATTTTGTTCGTATAAACGATATTTTTTCCTTCTCGAGATTGTTTGCTCTTAAATCAATGTGTTTGTGGATGCACAAACCAAACCCATTCACGAGTCACATAAAATGTGCCACGAATGGCGTGCAAATTCAATCCCAAATCTGAATTACGTGGATCGGGACCCACCCAAATATTTCGCGTCCAACTTATAAATTTTCCTCTTTGATTATTCCGCAGGATTCCCAAATCTTTGACTCTTTTCAGTCTCGGATCCGACCCAAATACTATGACCCATGACATGCATTACATGCATACATCCATGTCATCATATACACATACACATTACACACAGTGAGAAGGCACTATGTATATGTTGAGAAGAAGTCAATAAATTGGGTGAAGCTGAGCACTGAAATTTGCCGAGTCATGGTCATTGGAAATGAATTGATGCAGCAATCCATTTACCAATTATTTATTATATATTGAGGAAATTGCACTGAGTGTCAATTTTTGACTTTGTATTTACAAAAATGTCATTTTTTAAAAGTATTTGAAAGTTTGTCAATTTTGAACATTTTTGCCCCTCTAGATAAATTAAATGTCTAACACGTCCTTCATTAAATGAGGTTTGACTTGATGAGAAATTTGTACAAAAAATGTGTAAGTTGTCAGAATATTGTGTCAATTTTGGAGATTGAAAAAAAAAAACAAAAACAAGAAAATTAAACCCCTAAACTCACTCCACCGACCAAAAGAGAAGAACCCAACCCCTGAACTCACTCTCCTCTCATTTGAATCGTCGGAAATCCCCTTAGCCGTCGACTACCACTGCCTAAAGAAAAAGAAGCCAACCCTGAACTCAGTCCTCTCACTCATTCGATTTACCGGAATACGAAGAAACCCTGAACTCGCTCCCCTCACCGAATTTCCTGTCGGCTACCACTGCGAAAACGTCCACCGCCGACGAAGACCACCAAAAATACATTTGAAGTCATCATTCAAACACTTAATCGGCTGTGTGGGTGTAAGATAAGGAATCGGGCCAATTTGCAGCCGAGGTAAGCAATTTTTTGTGCAATGTCTGTCGATTTTTTTTGAACTTTTATTGTTTTGAATTTTGTGCATCGGGGGAAAAATGAATTGTGTTGATTTTGGTACCAAACTAATTGGAGTTATTGTGATTATATTTTATTAATGCATATATGAGAACTTAGATAAATATATAAAAACATAGTGGGAGGAGAGATAGATGGAGAGGGGGTGGAATAGAGCACATGACGCCAAGGAGCAATTACAAGAAACAAAGTTGAGATTGAAAGGGAATGAAAATAAAAAGATAGAGAAGAAACAAAACTAGCTTTAGGAGGGACAAAAGGTAATTAACAAACAACCCCAAATAACTCCATAACATTTAAGAATTTGTATATAAAACAAGTCAATAGCACGTGCGATATGTACTGTATTTGCAACAAGAAATTTAGTAATGTTTACATAATTTAGGGTTTAGAAGTTTCGTCGAACCACTGCCACAGGGAGAGCCAAAGAAGGAAGGGACTGCCGATACCGTGGTTTGAGATTCTGAATTCCGGACATAAAAGGTAGCATTGCAACAGAATTTTGTGATTTTTCCCAAATTTGATAGGTCGGGCCTTGGTTTTGTACATCTCCTCATGTTCATTTGCTGGATGGAATCAATGTTAGATATTCTATTTAATTTTGTTACTAATTAGACATGCTTATCTACAATTTAATTGGAGTTATATGCAGTTTAATTTAGAAACTTAACATAATCTTTTTTTTCTTGGGGTGTAGGGTTTAGAATATTGGATTTAGGGGATGAAATTCAGAAGGTTTGCATCTGGATGCATTCAGTGAGTGATTAGGACTTCATTTTGTTATTGAATGATTTGCTTCCATTGTTACTGATTGAATTTTCAGAATAAGATATATAAGTTTAGATAGTAAAATGGTTGACGAATGGTGAAGTTTTCTCTTGATTTTTTCTTGCCTCTGTCAAAGTTAAAATTTATTCTCATTTTCAATATAAGTAAGTATTGCTGCGCTAGTAAAAAATAATGTTTAAGGGCCTTATAATAATCAATAGCTTAACGCCTCAGAACCCTGAACTCACAGCCCTTGTTGGCATTTGTACTTGGCCTGAAAGCAAGAAAGAGCTATTTAATTTTTGACATTCATGTCTACAAAATATTGTGGAGAGGATTATTGGTTTGCTTAAAAAAATATTTGCATATCTGAGGTATCAACCATACCACGACATTGAGACACAAGCAATGATTATCCTTGTTTGTTGTGCCATTCACAACTTCTTAAGGATTTATAACGTAGAGGATCTTTGTAACGAGGACTATTATAGTAGCGACGATGAGGTTAACCCTGGACATGTTGATGCACCGAAGATGACACACCAAATGCTCATATATCTTTCATAGCAAAAGCTGCATGGTCTAGTAATAGGGATATAATGGCTGATGACATGTGGGCCGTTTACCATCCAAGTCATGATGCGGGAATTGATTTCGATTGAATATACTATGTTTTATTTCATTATTTGTGTTTCCCTATAATGTTTGGAGATAAACTTTCTAGTGTTCTTGTCTCGTACTAAGGTTTCTTCTATACTTGTTCTGTTGTAATATTGTCTTCGATACTTGTTACGTTGTAATGTTTTCTTCTTTCCATGGCTATCTACATTTGCATCTATGAGATAGTTTCAATCTCTTTGCCTAGTTTATATCGTTGTTAGATTTTTTTCATGCAATACTATTGTTCTTTCTAGTTATGCTAATATTGACATTTTTCTATTTTCAAGTGACAGTGTTGATGGCACAG